AAATAATAATTTGTATAATTCTCCATCCAGAGTCTGATTATGATTTGGATGAAGCACTGAGAAATATTGGGCTGTTCAGAGACTATATTTGGCTGAATGTGATCAAAGCAAAGCAGAATTTGAAAAGGAGCAAAAAACTCCAGGGATTCAGTTCATTACCAAATGCTGGACTGCAGTCCTGAACACAGCATGACCGTATTTAAATGGCTAATATCAGACTGCTAATTGTCTGGCAACACCTATTTTCTTTAGGGAGTTGACACAGCCTGGCGAGTCTGCCAAACTGTTTGAAATTCCCTCATGCAGGGAATGGAAGTTCTATTCCAGTGCAAAGGATCCCAGGAGGGTTATGCTAAAGCTACTAAAAGCAAAATGAGAAAAAAGAAAAGGTAAATGAGGAGGCAATGTTTTGTCTGTGGGACTTTTCCTAGTCCTCATGGAGAACGTACAACAAAGGTAGCAGTATGTGCTATTTCTAGCCTGTAGCTTATGAATAGGGCTTTCTTTCCTGCTCCCGTCTCCTTCATTTTGCAGTCTGTGTGCTAAAGCACCAACAGCCTTGCTCCCTTTCACTCTGTGTGCAGACTCAGAGAAGGAGGTGCAGTAGCAAGGCTGTCAAGCCAACACAAAATTCACACGGATGATGCAAGTCACTTCTTTGGTGTTGTGCTGGTGCTTGCTCTCGCTGGTGGCTGGGCTGGCTCTCCCATGCGGTTGGCCTACCTTGCATGTCCCACACAAGCGGCATGGGAGGGGGTGCCTGGCCACTGCCTGCTTTCCACCTTGCCCAGAAAGAACGCTGGCGTCAAATGTCTGAACGTTCACGCGCATAAGTACGTGATAATGGAAACGCTGGATTGCGTGTGAGGGGAATTCTGCTAGTTTGTTTCTCAGAATTTATATTTTGCCTGCCTTTGTGTAAGATTTCAAAAGCGGTTTGGCTGAATGCATGGGGTTTTTTGTTTGTTTTCTTATTGCGTTGATTTTCTTTTCCAAGAGCTATTTTTTCTTTCAATAAATAACAACAAAGACGACGGCCAAGGCCTACAATGCAGATGATCAGCAAGGATGATATTGTCATCCTGTGTCAGTCAGTTCTGAGCCTAGTGAAATAAAGAGTCCCTTTGGGAACGTCAGCGCTTCATCAAGACTAATTAGTGGAGATGCCGTTGCTTATGTTTAAGCATTAACGACTGGGCAGGGCTGCTTTTTGGAGTGCCTGACACTGGCATGGAACAAGGCACCGACCTAATTACTCCTCTACAAGAGCAGAAAATGCCTCCTGAATGCCTGCTTGGCAAGGATGTCTCATTAAGGGGGAAAAAACCCAACACAAGCACTCCTAGAAACAAAAATTAAAATGATAGGTAACCTGCGGCCGTGAGATTTGCTTCATGGCTGTGGGAAATGAAGACAAACTACTACAAGGTGACGTAGGGCATATTTGTACTTTATTTCCTAAATCCATCTATTTTTTTGGTCAGTAAGGAGCATATGAGACAGAACGCAAACTTGCGTTGTTGTAGAACAATGAAATAGGTTGCCACTCTTGTTATTGACGTCAAATAGCACTTGAAGGGCATTCCCATGCTGGTGTTTGGTGGGAGTTGTTTTGTTAGTCTATTCCTCCAGGGTTTTCAAACTCCTCTAGAAAGAGAGGCATTTGGTAGACCTGAGTGAAGAGTTGGTAATGAGGGTCTTGCAAAAATGTACCCTCTTTTTCTGCTTAAATATGATCAAGAAGCAGGCTGTCATTTCCCAGTTGAAGAGTGTTGGTTAGAGGATTTTCATTCATAACAGTTTTGTTAAAATAAAGCAGAGGAGTGAGGGGAAATAGCTGCCCAGATGTTTCTTGTCTTTTGAGTGTTTGTGCTCTTGGCTGAGTTTTAGTTGCTTCTACCCTTTTTGCCTTTCTTTTTCTTTTCCTCTGAAAGGTGCCAGTCATATCAGAAATTCAAAGTCTGTGCTAATTATGATTTATGAGATAAATTGCATGTTATTACTTCTTTTCTTTGACTGTTTGAGTGCACACTCTTAAATACTGAGGTCCATTATTCATCCAGGGAGTGGGTGCAGCACAGATAGTTACATGTCAGGCTTTGCCCAAAAGGCAAAAGCTAGCTCTGAAAAAGTATTTCATTGGTGGTGCAAGAACAGTTAAGCTTTCTAGGTAAAGAGGGATCTAGTGTTTGTGCAGATGTTTCTTGAGATGTGCCCTTTTTTGGTAGTTACCAGCTTATCATAAAATGCTGAGTTGTCTAGTTAGTTTATGGATTGAATAGAGCTCTCAGAATGTTTATATGGATGCCACATGATCTTGCTTTGTGTATTTCTTTGCTCAAGTCTGGCCCTTTACCTTACTCATCTGTGCTTTGCCTGTCTTACTGCACAGAGTGCCAGAGAGAAACGAGGTGTCCAGCAGCTACACAGAAGTATCTACTACCTGCTACGGTGTAGGTGGCCTCTTGTAGCAGCATTTCTTAAATGCTGCAAGATGCTTAATGCGATTTCCTAAATGCTACAGCCTGGGTTTCTGAGATTCTCTCTCTCTAGACAGAGCCTTTCTTTTCAAAAACTGGGATATAGCTCGTTTCCTTCCTTGAGTTCAAGGGACAACACACACAACAGGTCCTGAACTCGACTGTTTCAAACCTCACTTGCTTTCAAAGGCAAAGAAGCACAAGGCTTTTTTTTTTTTTTTTTTTTCTTCCCCCCTCTCCCCCCCCTGTTACAAGGACTCTAGCAGATAGGAATGCTGCAGATGCAGATATATGGGGAGGGGAGCCCAAAAAGGACTGTTCTTTCCTGAGGCATCACTTGCTTCCCTTGCCTGTAGTGCAGCTGCATGTCCCCTGCTCCCAGGTGTGTCCACCATGTGCTTGGCCTGAAGAGATCTGTGGGTCTCAGGCAGTCTTTCTTTCTCTGTCTCCCTTCCTTGCTAATCTCTGAGTGTATGGCAGCACAGTTGTCCCAGTTGTCCTGTAGAAAAACAGCCAAAATGATGTTTCTATCATGTGCCAACGTGCTGTGAGACCACCTCATGTAGCTCTGCAGTCTGTCATCTCTAAGGGCAATGTCATATAAACTGTGCTTTGGTTAGACTCTTGCATCTATTGATACTCTAACGAAATAATGCTGAGTCATGAATAACACAAGATTTGTTCAAGGTGGTCCAGTTTCTTGAGTAGAAATGGAGGATCTGGTATCTACAATATACTCGCCTCTGGATCTTTGTGGAGCAGCCATCAGTTAAGTATTCAGCTTTTAACTCAGCTTCTTACTGTATCCGATTCACCAGGATACCCTATAATGTAATGTAGAACAGAAGTGCACCAAAAATCAGTTATTTATTCAGATTTTACACAGTTCCTGTGCAGCATTAACTTCTATTGACCTTAGTTGGAGTGTAGCTTCAGAAAGAAATTAATAACATATGAAAGACTTCAGAATTTGGCCCTGGTTGTTTTCTTCAAAGCAACACTTCTGAACATAATCAAATAGGAGACAGAAATAGATAGAAAAAGTCAGGGAAATACAAAAGGCTAATTTTATTGTTGTACTAGACCTTGATATTAAATAAACCTTGATATTGCCATGGCAGAGTTCATTAAAAACTAATTGTCTAATGTAATAATCTTTTGTGGTTCTGTAACAGTTATCAGCTAAGGATCTTGAAACCCTCTGCAGACTCCACCTTATTCTGGCAATACCTTCTGTGAGATGCTTATATTCTGTTTTTTTTTTCTATAGGCAGGGAGATAGAAACAGCCAGGCAAAATGACTTTTCCACAGTTGTCTCTTGATTCTGAGTTAGACTGTTAGAATGGGGTTAGAGCTGAGAACAGTTCATTCTCACTTCATTCTGCTTCAGCCATCATAGAAACTTTCACCTTTTCCTGCTGCTTTTTCTCCATTTATCTTCTAGAGAAACGTTGCAGTAGAAGGAAATGTGTCATTCAATCAGTGATAAAACTACTGCAAAGTGATTAGAAAACCCTTTGGAGATCATAATCTTGGATGGTCCACTGTCAAAACAGGATGATATATTGCATGGGTATCTGCAGAGATCTCTTGTATTTGGTAATCTGAGTATTTTCATTCTTGGACTGGATCTTGGATGGAAGAGAATACACATATATGAAATCTGCAAAACTCTCAAGCTTGAGAGGTGCTGCATAAGTTGTGAAGAGTAGGTATACAATGCGTCATGATTTTGGACAATTCGAAAAATGGGTTGAAATGTAGGATGCCATTCAATGGAGACAAATGCAAAGTACCAAATTCAGGCTGGACTGATGAAGTACCCAAATCCACAATAAGGAGCAACTAGAAAGGCAGAAAAAGGGACATAAACATTTTCACTTCTCACTAACTAAACCCTAGTCAACAGTCTACTGTTTTTCCAAAACTGCTATGATACTTTGTCAAAAGCAGATATCTGGAATTTTTATATAGCTGTAGCCTGTGAGATACGTGAAGTAATTGTTTGATTATTCAGAGAATTAGTAAAAACTCTCTTGAAGTTTTGAACACTGGTCTTCAAGGAGGATGTGAACCAAGTGAAGAGAATTCAGAGGATGACAGTGAAAAAAAATCATGTCTACAAAATTTGGGTCACAGAGGAAAGTTAGAAGAAACTGGAGGTAGTCTGAAAGCAAAGAAGAGTCTGCAAATATGTAAGAGTGGACAGGGCTGTGTGTGGTGGGAAGGACAAAACAGATCTCAGATGAAATTTTCTACCAATAATGAAGCAGTATACCTGTCAGGAATG